CCCAATACTGTCAAAAACAAATGAACAAAGAATTTAAAATTCAAAACATATTCTAAAAAATGTAAGGTACGACTGAAAAACACTCCATGTAGTCTGGGAGCGTGGCTCAAGCACTACAGTGCCTGCCAAGCAAGCACAAGACTCTGATTTCAAATCATAGTTCCAAGTTCCACTCAGATTCTCAGAGGCCATCATGTGTCCTTCCCAAAGCCAAAGCATTCCCCTAGCTCCCTCCCTCCCTGCACCTTTCAATTCATGAAAGTTTCAAGTGAAAGTAAAAAAAAAATCTTCCCTGGCTGCAGGCTCTAGGACATCCCCAGCTAATCAGGTTTAGATCTGGGCTGGAACCCAAGACTAAGGCTTTGGTGATCTGGGTCTCCCAAGAAGCCAGGGTGCACAGAACTGAAATGTCAAGTCAGAGAAGATCCCTGAGAAGTCCGTATGCACTAAAGACAATTTCCAAATACTTCCAAAACACTACAGCAGGCTTGGGCAGATACTTCAGTGGGGTCAGCTGAGATCCAAACTGAGACCTGGGTCAGCAGAAAACACATGGATTACCAGCCGAGTTTTCTCACAAGTAACTCATTTATTACCTGCTACTTAAGGGCAGTTTACTTCATGACACTGAGCCTCAGTTTCCTCATATGGACAGTGCAATAGTGATTTGAGCATCTTGTAACATGGGATTATGAAAATTATAGTATGAATGTCTGCCTCACAGACACCCAGGATGGGTTCATTTTCTTTCTCCTCCCCCCCTTTTTTTTTTTGCTAGTCCTGGGGCTTGAACTCAGGGCCTGGACACTGGCCCTGAGCTTTCTTTTGCTCAAGTCTAACACTCTACCACTTGAGCCACAGCACCACTTGTGGCTAGTTTTTTGTTTATGTGGTATTGATGAATTGAACCCAGGGCTAGGCAAGCACTCTACCACTAAGCCACATTCAAGCCCCATGGTGTGCGTGTGCGCTTTTCTTGGGGCTTTAATTCAGGACCATAGACATTATCCCTGAGCTTTTTCTGATCAAGGCTAACACTCTACCTCTTAAGCCATAGCTCCACTTCCGGGATTTTGGTGTTTAATTGGAGATAAGAGTCTCACAGATTTTCCTGAGGGAGCTGGCTTTGAAACTCAATCCTCAGATCTCAGTTTCCTAGGTTTATAGTCCTTTCCTCTCCAATTTAAGAACACAAATAGAGACTGACCCTTACCCTTCCCAAGGCCAGGCAACATGGATCCATCTGCTTTTTTACCCAGAGCCAAACAGAAACTTCCTAAAGTTTAGGAAGAAACTTTCTAAAATGGATATTCTAACCAATTCCTATCTATCAAGATATAGTAATATGTATGCCCAATATAAGCAGGTAAGATGCTCTGTTGGGAGAAACTGAATGAGTTAGGCCCCAACCTCCTACACTTCCAGATTCTTCAGACCACACGTTTAGAGGTAAATTCTCAACCTTACTAAGGGAAGTGAACAATCATCATTACGGTGGATTTATACATGCTATAGAACAAGACCTCCCATGTCCTCGAGGAGGGCCAGGCTGGATGCTCATTCTTAATCGCCATGAGAGCATCAAGTCATGGCAAAGCTTCCAGCTTCTTGCTGACTCTGACTGGGCCAAGCAGGAGAAAGGGAAGCTCCCTTTTCTATAGCCTGAGAGTACCAAACAGTGGGGATTATACTCCCCCAGATCCCCAAATGGCTGATAGGATAGGAACCTAGAGACTCTGATCCATTAGAATCTACTTTTTTTTTTTTTTAAAGTATCAAAGATCCCCTTATTATTCCTCCTTCCTAGACCCTGCTGAATGAAAGTGAATTGTGATTGTTACTGTTTAAAAAACAAAACAAAACAATTAACCAAACACATAAGGAATGATCCTCTGATCAGCAAGAAATACACATTACCAGAATGCATTGATGCAGTTCCAATCAAAAGCCAGGAAGCTTGTAGTTTCAAGTCATCTGTGCAGTCATACTGTAGCTAAAGATAGGGCTTCCATTATTTGGAGGAAAAAAAAAAATTGGAATGGAACTTGCGTGCCTCTGAGGAGCCATATAAGTTGCAGAATTGGGAACTGTTCACCTGATCCAAGTCCTTCATTTTTCAGACTCAATGAAAAAAAAAAAAAAAAAAAGAGTCCCCAAGGACTGAAGGCAGCTGCCAAAGGTTACTGCTAAACTGGGCAGGGTTAAGAATAATTTTTCCTTTTAAATGTCGGTTGCTTTAGAATACAAAGATGCACTTGTTTTCTTCCAGAGATAATGTGTAAAATCAAGCTCATTAAATCACTGCTGGACATTAAGAGAAATTCTATAAAAAGAAAAGGATATCAAGCCAAAGTTACTTGTTGGGCTGGGGAAGTGGGGAAGTGGTAGAGTGTGCCTCTGCTTCTAAATGTATGAGGTTCAATCCCTACCCAGAACAGAAAGAAAGGAGAGCAGAGTGGCTGTGGTTGCACAGCAGCCTCACAGGAGGGGCACAGGGCAGCGGCAGGGAAGACAGTGCACATTCTGCTGAGTGTGGCCTGCCAGGCAGGGTGTACAGAGCACAGACATTACATTCTTCATTCCCTGTGCCTGCTTCCCTCCCTCAGTCACGCCTGATCATGTCCCCGTGGCATCTGGTTGCATCACTTTCCTTGCACCCATAGCCCCAGAACTCCTGTGGACTTCATTCTCCTCCAGAGGCCTGAGAAAGGACTTAATTTGTTTGACAGGATCTGGCAAAGGCACTGTTCAGGTGACCAGAAAATTTAGTCTCTACTTCTGTGAAGGAGGACACTGAAGCCTAAAGAGGGAAGAGACACTTGTTACAGAAGAACCCTTGAAGATGTACTAGAATAGATGGGAGAAACTGTGTGGGTCTGTCTGTATCTGTGTATGTATGTATGTGCTGGTACTGAACTAATGGCCACGGTGCTGTCTCTTGGCTTTTTCTGCTAAGTGCTCTTCCACTTGAACAACAGTTCCACTTCCAGCCTTTTGGTGGTTAAATGAAGATAAAAATCTCACACACTTTCCTAACTGGAAAAGCTTACAACCTCAGCCCTCACATCTCAACCTCTTGAGTAGCTGGGATTATAGGCATGAGCTACCAGTGCACAGAAGAAGGAGCAATTCTTTTCTTTTTTTAAAAATCAGGTAGTGACTTAGCCTGAAATCTGGGAGAGCAGAGGTTCTGGGTGGTCCCTCCCCTGGGGCACAATGCTGGCTATCTTTTCAGATGATAGCTTAAGGAATGAGGCCTCTCATTTAGGATAGGGCAGAGGGTCTATAGTAAGTCAGTGAATCAGTACTTGCCCCCCCCCCCATACCAGCTGGGCAAACAGAGTTTGGGGGATTGGGGTGAAATCATCAGGTTCCCTAGAGGGGCTGAGGCAGAATAAGACAAAGGATCTGGGTGGCAATGAAGGGGTTTGGCCTTCAAAGGTGCTCACAGTTCATTATCTGTTCTTACTCCAGCCCCTGAGTCATGTCTTCACCTCCAAGGATGAAAAGGGGCACAGTGTTCCTGGAGCCTACAGGAACAACCCATCCCCCAAGCTGTCTTTCTGGGATTAAGAGTTCGAAGACAAATGAAGGCCTGAACTAGTGGTTATTACAACTCTTAGCATCTTGATTCCACATGGTAAAACCCTCTTAAATTCAAGACTAGTTCCCATTAGCTCTTCAGAAAAGACTCTGATCACCAGGGCAGACAAACCTATCCCTTTTCCTGCTCTCTGACTGGGAGAAGAAAGCAAATTTGAGAAGGCTCCTAGGCAAGATGTGAAGAGAGGATACCATAGTCCCCGTGGCCCCAAGGATGAGAAACTGGGGCAGATCTTGCCTGTTACTACAGCTGAAACTGGTTGTCTCCTCTGTAAAATGGGTACACAAACATCTATTTAGGCTTGAGAGATTAAGGGGTAAAGTGCCCAGTGAAATGCCTGGTACAGACAGTATTCAGGAGCAGTCTCCAATTTCCCTCAATCCAGACGTTTCCCACCATTCTAGTAGAGTTCAGTCAGTCAGTGAAACCATATAGTATAATCTGTCACCTGACTAATATTCCAGCAGCCAGATCTAGGGAAGGAGCTAGGTTAGGGAAATCTGAAGAAAAAAGTCAACCTACAGGACCACTGGTGAGGGGGGGAGCAACCCAAGGAACAACAAACTTCTCCCAAAGAAGAAAAACAAGCTCCACCCCAGCTAGGAATGGCTCCATTCACAGAGGACCTAGAGGGCCAGAAACCCTCTGGGGAGTTTCTATAGGAGGTGGGGTGGGGCAGTGAGCTAAGACAGGCAGGTCAGAGGAAGAAAGTTTCCACACCTCCCTCTGAGAAGCCCCACACAGAGAGGCCCCTACAGGCACTCAGGCCTGTGGACTGATGGGAGTGGGGGGGGGGGGGGGGGAGGCGCTGGTCCAGTAATGTCATTCACCTGGGAGCTCAGAGCCCTTCAAGGCCAAAGGCAAATGTGCCAGCCCTAAGAGAATAAACGTTTATAGGATGCCCACTGTGTACCAGGCTATCCACACCCAGGTCCTACCAGCTCCCACTGTTTGGCAAAACCTGCCCATCCAGCTTGTTGGGACAAATTCTTGGGCAAGCAGCATGGCCTGCAGGTAAGACATGTGGAAGCTGGAAGAACAGCACCCTATTTGTGCCGTGTTCTCCCCCCCCCACACCCCCCCCCCCCCCCGCCCCTCCCCACCCCAGCAAGAGCAAGCCAGGTTAGAGGCATCATTTGGAGACCACTTCCAAGTGTGTGTAAGAAAGGGGATTCAGGGTCCCCAGGAACTTCCCTTCGGTGCTAATTCCTCACCTTATCATTTCCAGGACACAATGGGGGGTGGGAGGAAGAGGGCGTAGAGCCCTCACCAGACAGAACCAATGGCAGTAGGATAAATGAGCTGGGAGAAACAGATCGAGGGGAGGACTTGGACCTTCCCCCGACATTCAGCAGCCAAGAGAAGAGGTAGGGAGGAGACACGGAGACCAACTCACCGAAAGGGGTCTCTGGAGGTGAAGTAAGCCGGAACGGACAAGTAACTCCCCATCTTCTTCCCACTCTAGATAATCAGGCTCAGCTGCAATCCCGACTGGGAGTGCCTTAGGCTGGCTGCAGGCGGCCACCATGACAGGCCCGTCCCGGCACCTCTGATTGGGGCGGGCTGCCCTGCGCTCACCTCTCCCTCTGGAGCTGCAGAAGGAGCGTGAGGACTCCAGGCCACTTGCCCCTTGGCAAACTCCCACCAGGGCTCATGGCTTGGGATGGCTCCTCCTTAGCTATTGGAAGCTGGGGCGGCCCCTGGGGACTGTGGGAGAGCTACCTCGGTGGTGGCTAGACACAGGCAGGCATTCTGAGGCAGGGGCCGGTGACTAGCTAAGAAAGAAGCGTTGCTGTCAAGTTAGCCTCCTTCAGTCCCACCCCGAATGAGGGAGGGAGGGAGGAAGAGGAGGGGCTCCTGCAGAACCGAGGTGTGTGGTTGGAGCAGCTGTTAGGAAACAGACCTTACGGCAAGGGGTGGAGCCCGACAGGAGCGAGGCTGCAGGCAGGCGCAGCAGACAATAACTCAGGGCTGGCCCAGTGTCCATCCCTGCACGCAGGACAGCACAGGACAGAGGACTGGCATATCTGACTCCAACCACCCTCAGCTTCAAGAGCTGCTTAAAGGACAGTAACTCTGCTCAGAGGGGAAGAAAAGCACAAGATGCCAGCTCCAGGCAGAGCCACGCCCCCTGGGGATGGGGGTGGGGGAGAACCTTTGACTGGTGAGGGAGCTCCACAGAGCCACCCTCAGCTCAGGGCTGGCCTCTGCTCTGTCCCAGTGACCGTCCGGGGGTGTCACTTCTACTCTGGGGCAGGACTATGCTACAGATGTGTCTTCATGTGGCAAGCAATACAAATACCCATACAGTAAGTTCCCTGAAATGGGGATTGTTCTCACTTCATACAAGAGGAAAGTGAGGTGCCAAGAGACTCAGTGAATCATTCAAGGTCAAGAAGCCAGTCAGAGCTGGTTGCCAGTGGCTCAGGCCTGTAATCCTAGCTACTCAGGAGGCTGGGATCTGATGAGCACAGTTAACCACTAATCAACCACCTTTTGAAAAAGCTGGGAGTGGAGCGGTAGCTCGTTGTGGCACAGCAGCCAGCCTTGAGTGAAAAAGCTAAAGGACAGTGCCTACGTTTTGAGTTCAAGCTTTAGTACCAGTACACATATACACACACATTAAAAAACAAAAAGAAAAAGAAAAGAAAGAGGGTAGTCAGAGGCAGGGCTGGGATTTGAATGGCGGCCCATGGGACTCTAGAGCTATGAGGCTTCATTCTGCCTCTTTAAGAAGAAACATCTGTCAAAGCCCTCTGTCAATAGATTGAAACTCAGGTCACCTGTGCCCTCTCATTCATTCATTCATTCATTCATTCATGCATTCCCAGATGCCATCCACTGGTTTTAGGGGGCAGTGGTGCTTCTTTTCAAACTAAAAACCTGGGCACAATAGTGTGTATAGTGTCTGTAATGGGAGCACCCGAAGAGCCCTTGCAGCGGGGCTGACCAAAGCAGAGCCCACCATCAGGCTCAGTGATAAGAGTGCTTGCCTGGCATGTATGAAGCCCTGGGTTCAAGTCCTCAGTACCACATAAGCAGAAAAAGCTAGAAGTGACACAGTAGCTCAAGTGGTAGAGTGCTAGCCTTGAGCAAAAAGAAGCTCAGGGACAGTGTCCAGGCCCTGAGTTCAAGCTCCAGGACTGGCCAAAAAAAAAAAAAAAAAAGAAAAAGTCCTGCCTGCAGGGCTGTGAAAGGAAAAAAAAAAAAAAAAAGACTGCTAAAGAAGCCTGGGTTACACCAACATCTCACTGTTAAGATTTTGGGTAGCAGACATTTAAGTCTCTTCCACTGGGCACCCCCCCCCCCCCATTGGAAAGAACCTGGGTCATCTAGCAACCATTGTCTATGAACCATAGCAGGAAAAGCCCATTAGAAAGCTGGTGTACCTGGATTACCGTTCCTTCCACTTGCTACAGGGACAATAATGAGTATGAAAAGAGAGATTGGGTTTGTAACCCTGATAACAAGTTCACATTTATTGGACACTTCCAGGACCTGAATTAAGTGCTCGCTGTTGTGTTTTGTTTTCAGCAAGTAGAATCAGTACCCATTTAACAGATGAGAAAATTCTGAGGGGTTTAGTCACTAGCCTAAAAACAAATACTTGGTAAGAAGTGAAGCTGGGTTTCAAAACCAGCAGGGAAATCTCTAGGTCAGGGTAAGAGGACCAGTGGTCTAGTGTAAAGGGCTAGGGTATAAATATTTTAGGTTCTTTAGGTCATACAGACTCTCACAGATAATCATCTGTGCCATTTCACTGCCAAAGCAGCCAGACAGAAAACATGAACAAACAGACGTGCTTGTGTTCCAGTAAGTCTTTCTTTATGGACATTGCCATTTGAATCTCATATAGTTTTCACATGTCATGAATTAGTCTGCTTCCCTGCCTGACTTAACCATTTAAAAATGTAAAAATCATAGACAGTTCAAAAACAGGCAATGAACTGGGCGCTGGTGGCTTACTCCTGTAATCCTAGCTACTCAGAGGGCTGAGATGTGAGAACTTCGGTTCAAAGCCAGCCCGGGCAGGAAAGTCTGTGAAATTCTTATCTCCAATTAAGCACCAGAAAACCATAAAGTGGCGCAGTGGCTCAAGGGGTAGAGCACTCTCTTTGAGCTGAAATGCTCAGGGACAGTGCTCAGGCCCAGAGTTCAAACCCCATGACCGAAAAAACAAAAACAAAAAACAACAGCTGAGGGTCAGTGTCTCACGCCTGTAATCCTAGCTACTCAGGGGGCTGAGATCTGAGGATCAAGGTTCAAAGCCAGCCCGGGCAGGAAAGCCCGTGAGACTCTTATCTCCAATAAATCACTAGAAAACCAGAAGTTGCTCTGTGGCTCAAGTGGTAGAGTGCTCACCTTGAGCTGAAGGGCACAGGGACAGAACCCAAGCCCAGAGTTCAAGCCCCATGACCGGAAAAAACAAAAAACAGGCAATGGGCCAGTTTGTCCACTAGTTTGTGTTCTTGAGCCATAGAGTTCAACCATTTTGTTCACTGTCTCTAATAGTAAAGAATGGCTTTGGTAGCCGGAAGCAACTGAGGAGAGTAAGTGGTAGATGGCTGTGTGGGTGGGTGGGTGGGGGGTGGGGGGGAGGGGAGGCTTAGCAGGTATCAGACTCTAGGCACACTAGAATCTGTGAATGAATTAACACTACCTGTTAATGAATGAATGAACCTCTATGATATATAGTTCTGTGACACCCTTTCCTTTACAGAGAAAGGGGCTGAGGTATAGTGGGGCTAAATTGCTTGTCTGAAGTCTTCTAGATATATAATTTAGAAATAAAGCCAGGACTCGAACCTAGGCTACACAGGATAGGTTATACTCTATCATGCTACATTGCAGCTCAACCTGGGCCTACAGCCAGACTGTCTGGGTTTAAATGTGACCATGCACTGCATATAAGTCCTTGGCATCCAGTCTGGAACACATTAAAGGTTGGTAAATGTTAGCTGTTAATATCATTAAGGCTATTGTTACAACTATTATGGCTAGCTACGTGGCCATTAGCAAGTCCTGCCTCTGTCTGGGCCTTGGTTTGGTCTCTAAATAGCTTCTAGCCTCAGTCATAGGAGGTTCCTGGGGGCTCCCTGTTATCCTTGTGTCTCAAGTGGAGTTTAAACCTTGAGTTAGCCTTAAGGGGGATTGAGATCCTGGCCTGGAGGCCACATAAGAGCCACAGAGAAGGTGGTGGGAGATGGGAGAGAGGAAAAGAGGGGAGATACTGAAAGGACTACCTAGCTAGAGGGCTGGGAGCTCTCTTCCTTCTAGCTACAGAGCCAACTATTTCTCCCCCAAATCTATTATGTTTCCCTGTAATTCGATCAAGCAAGGAAAGGGTCCCAAATTAAGTCTGGAACTAGCAAATTATCTTCTAATTGTACCCTCTGATTTCTATCTGATGAACAGAGTACAGATGGAAGCAAATGAAAGCCACAATGAGATCGGGGGCCAGGGAGCACATGAGCATAACTCCTCCTGACATTTCACACAGCTTTGCTGTTCCAGTGGCGGCGTACACAGTGAGTCGGTGTCTAGGAATGTGAACGGGAGGCTGCGGGCCTTCTCTCCGCCCCCCCCCCCCCTCCTTACAAAGGATTCAGTAGGGAATTGGTGAGATGATTTCTTAGTGCCACAAAAAGTGTCCCCCACCTCGAAGATGGACAGCCATCACCCCAGGTCCTGAGCTGAAGTGGAAGCCCCTCCCAAGTGGAATCCATTTGACCCCCATAAATCCAGCCTTCTGGAGAAACCTTTGAAGGATTGATCCTCACATGTGATAAGCTGCTGGCTGCTCAGACCAAGTGTGTGGTTGCTCAGGGCTAACTTCAAAGACCCCAAACTATGCAGAACTGGGAGGTAAAACATCACATTGCCCTCTTCTGGTCCTAAAGAGAAGGAGAACACCTCTTTTGGTCCCTGGAGCTCCTGGCAGTGGATTCAGCAGCTATGGCTGCCAGAGGCAACTGCAGGGATCCTTGGACTGGCAGTTTCAGTTGGGCTGAAATGGCAGGAGAGGTGCTAATCTCCTGCACATTTCACAAGTTGGAAACCTGACAAGGAGCCGGGCAAAGGGACTCTTCGGAACTAGCTGAGACTGGGGCTTCAGGGCGTCGGTGACAAGCCTGAGAACAATAGCCTTCAAAGCGGGCGGTCTCCAGCAAATGCTCTTGGGAGGAGTGGTGAATGAATGAATCACCTCAACCTCTCCTGGGAAGAAGGCTATGCTGAACTAATCCAAAGCCTGGAGAACTGTGTTTGTGGGAGGCCATCTACTGGACGGGAGGACTCCAACCAGGGAAAGGAACTCGGGGGACTCTAACCTCTGAATCCTGAGCACACAGACATTCTGTCAGCACAGGGATACCCTGCCACTGGCCATCTTGCCTGCCTCTGCTCCTCCTCTCTATATCACTTTTCTAAACCATAGCAGCAGCAGCAGTTGTCTTTTTAAAACAGGGTCCCAGAAATTCCAGAGCTAGAAATTTTGCCTAGAGAAATATTTCTATGGCTAGGCAGGCATGTTCAAACAGTGCAGCACTGCTGAATGCTAGAGTAGGAACAATTTCCATGCCCAACACTGGGCTAAGTACAACATGCCTACACAACAGAGGACGCCACAGTTGTTAGAAATAATCAGGTTGCTCCTACATGCTGAAATAGACATTAATTCCTGCATGAAAAATCCAAGCTTCAAAGACAGTATATAATATGCAGTAATCCAACTGTATAAACAAACAATCTGGGCATCAGTGGCTCATGCCTGGAATTCCAGCTCCTCAGGAGGCTGAGGTCTGAGGATCATGGTTCCAAGCC